AAGCCATCTCTCGCGGATCGTTAGTCGTACCTTCATGGCTAAATCTAATCTCCAATGTTGTACAAGGGACAGAAAAAGCGCACCCGCCAACGGAATATGGCTACCTCCAGCTGCCGTTCTAGTGCTGTCAGGTAGCGGTGTCTCGTGCTCGTACGTTTGTTCAAGTGTCTTCGCTAGGGTGAGTTTTATGGTCCTTAGCAGCAACATTCTGGCGGTGGACGTGGTTTCAGTTGAAAAGTAAAAGTCATCAGATTCTTCCCCTGCTGCCACCATGCTTCACCGGGGTGCGTCATACAGCCATAATTATGTTTCCTCCCCAGTTTCGATGCAACTGCTCGTACGCGCAAGCGCGCTTTCGGATATGTTGAGTTTATGCTTGAAAATTTTGGAAACAAAAAAGTAAATAAAAATATTTTTATCTCGGTATAAACCACATGTAGATATATTTCTTAATAAAAATATCCAGGACAAATATGCATGGCCCGAGGAATAATTAAGAATCTACATTTTAGATTTTGAAAAAAATGACCTAACTTTATTCATGTATCTCGAAAAGCAAAGTACTGTTTAGAGTCTATCTAGGGCACATCTAGATGTGCCTTAGTTAGAGCAACTCTAGCATGTTGGAAATATGCCCTAGAGGCAATAATAAAATGGTTATTATTATATTTCTTTGTTCATGATAATTGTCTATTATTCATGCTATAATTGTGTTATCCGGAAATTGTAATACATGTGTGAATACATAGACCACAACACGTCCCTAGTGAGCCTCTAGTTGACTAGCTCGTTGATCAAAAGATAGTCATGGTTTCCTGACTATGGACATTGGATGTCATTGATAACGGGATCACATCATTGGAAGAATGATGTGATGGACAAGACCCAATCCTAAGCATAGCTCAAAGATCTTCAAAAAGCGTCACCGCACACCAAGCTCGAAGCCGTTACTCTCTCTAATATCAAAAATGTTCTTATATTATGGGACAAACGAAATAGCTTGTAAGTGTGTGTGATTTATCCCACACATATACAAAATTACGCGTGGGATGTACTTTGGACCTGCACACGTTCAAGGCAAAATCACATTGTACAGGGTACTTTGGACTTGCACACGGCCAGGCAAAACAACCGTGTCTGATGTACAATTTTAATTTTATTTTTTGTCAATAAGTTCAAAATAGTTATTTTGGCTCCGGAGGCATCGTATCGGCAAGTGCACATGGCCAAACAGCGCTGCTATACACACGACGAAGATGGGGCCGACGCCTGCACGATTATTACGTGGAAGCACCAACAGCTAGCGTGCATGCAGGAGAACAGTTGGGAAGAAAGCATCATTCGCAGATCGTGTGCAAACTGTCGTCTGTGAAGCAATTTCCATGGCCAAATGGTCGAACCATCTAGGGCCAGGTAGCGCTTGCAGCTGTTGACCTGGGAGCGGCTCCACTACTCGAGTCTACCAGCTAAAGCCGCGGCGGGGTCTCCGTACACCTAAAATGTACCGAGATTATCCACAGGGCGGCAACACTTTGCTCGGTGTCTTGCACGCCATATGTATAATTACTACTTCTAGTAACTATATTGGCCCACGCACTGCAACAGCTCCGTGATTAGCCTTATTAAGTTTAGCCACACATGCAATCAGCTCCGTGATTTCCATTGTCTGGCGCTCTTTTTGCCCGCCGATGGAGTGCTCTCTTTCGTCCTATCCCTCTCACTATTCACGGCATTGAGCGTTTGCCGAATAGTGTGGCCTCATCTTATGCCTTACAACCCTGACGCTCTACACTGCAACATCGATTGTGTGCTCTTCGTTCATTCAGAGCGTCAAGCTTTGTGTGCATGTTCGTTTCTGTTGCCTGCGGTGGCGGCGCTTGCAAGTGAGTATTTGGTGTTTTTGGTACAAGGATGGAGGTCGTTGACAGTGGATTCCACTTTCTTCCTTGACATCGTTGGTCGTGAGCAGTGGATCTAGATCCACCCAATGTGCCACATCGTCAAGCACCTGTTCTGCACACCCGGTCATCGGCTCTCGAGCTCTCTATTGCTATGGCGCTGGCTTGGATCATTCGATTGTGGAATTTTGCCTCTTCTTCCACGAGTCTCATGGCGGCGCCAGTGGTTGACTATGAATTTTTATAATTGTTGTTTGTAGGGGGCTCTAAGGACAAAAAAGCATCAATGTTGGCCACAGATTGATTTATTGTTGTTGCATCATCTCCATATTTTATATGAGAGAAGTGCATATTTCAACCCTGAACTCTTGCCCTAATTTAATTTACAACCCCGAACTTTAATACCGTCTAAATTACAACCCCCAAGCCTCAAAATCGGGCAGGATTCAACCCTCCCCTCTCTGTTGACCGGTTTTGACCTGGAGTGACCAGTTTTGACTAGTCAACGGGTCCAATCAGCATGCCACGTCAGCTTTTTTTTTCAAAATTTCAAGAAAAAGTAAATAAAAATCTGTAAGATTAGGAAAAAAATATAAAAAAGAAAAATTCCGAAAAAATTGTTCGCGAAAAAAGCTAGGGAAAATAAAAAATGATTTTTTCTGGAAATATTTTTTTTCTGGAATTTGAGTTTTTGGGTTTTTTCTGGATTTTTTTTGGAAATTCGTTTTTTTATTTTCCGTGTTTTTCAGAAATTAGATTTCTTATTTCTTTTCCTGTATTTTCTTTGATTTTAAAAGTTGTTTCCTTGGAAATTTTGCATTTTTTGCTGATGTGGCATGCTGACTGGACCTGTTGACCGGTCAAAACCGGTCAACCAGGTAAAAACCGGTCAACAAAGAAGGGAGGGTTGAAGACTGGCCGGTTTTGAAAGTTGGGAGTTGTAGTTTAGATGGTATTGGAGTTCGGGGTTGTAAATTAGACTAGTCCAAAAGTTCGGGGTTGAAATATGCACTTCTCTCTATTTTATATAGGACAAGCTCCAACTCCAAGAGCTTGCTCGGCGATGTGGTACTAAAGTAGACGACAAGCTACTCATATTTTGTTGTTATCGTTGCATCGGTTGACTTTGGAGGCCTAATGGTCTAGGCGGAACGGAACAAAAAAAAATCGATATCACCTGGCGCATACAACACACCCACAGAGAGAAATCGCTATCATGTAGCCCATACAAGACACACGCAGGACAACCGCTAAGTTTAGTACCACGTTTGCTATTATGAGAATAGGAGACGTAAGTAAGTTTATAAAACACGGCTGGTTAAGATCAAACTGATAGTGCAAAAAAAAACGTGATGAATGATAACATTCAACAAATGCACTGTAATCCTATTCATCACCCAGGGTGCAGAATAAGTTATTCTTCACTCGAGGTAATTTTACGATCCCTTCATAAATAAATTATATTTGGAATACAAATATTTACATTCATATTGATTCACTACGTAAAATTTGGTATAAAAAAACAAAAATAGTTTTAAAAACCAGAAATATCGCATTTTATGTATCTTTTACACTATGTTTTTACGTTCGTAATTTTACATAACATAAAATATTTTTTACGACGAGTGTATATTTTCTTACGTTTTTTTATGTATGAAATAAGACAAAATTTACGAAACCTAAAAATACGGTGCATTGACCTCAAAATAGAGAGGGGGTGAAGAATAACTATTCCTCACCCAGGGTGAGGAATAGCGCGTATTACTAGATATTGATATAGATATACTATGGATGTACCATTCCTTGGCTAATTTAATTGTTGTTGATTCTCCTTTAGCCGCAAAAATGTTGACTAGTCTGAATTTGTTTAGCACTAGAGCATAAGATATTGAAAATAAGTAAAACTATTAATTTATAACTTGTTGGTTCCCTAATGCTTGCTGAATTTCACGGACTTTTAGAATTTCACCAAATTCCGTAGTTTTTGGTGATATCTCTTATTGTTATTTATTTTAAATTTCTGAATTGTTCTTTCTTTTGCGAAAAAACTTCCAATCTATTCATCTTCAATCATGGCACTACAACGAACATCAAAAATAAAAATTACATCCAGATCCGTAGACCACCTAGCGACGACTACAAGCACTGAAGCGAGCCGATCGAAAGCGCGTCGCCGTCATCACCCTTCCATTGCCGGAGTCGGGCACAACTTGTTGTAGTAGACAGTCGGGAAGTCGTCGTGCTAACGCCCCATAGGACCAGCGCACCAGAACAACAACCGCCGCCGATGAAGAATAACGTAGGTTGGAAGGATTCAACCCGAAGACACACGAACGTAGACGAACAACGACGAGATCCGAGCAAATCCACCAAAGATAGATCTATCTGAGACACACCTCCACACGCCCATCAACGATGCTAGATGCACCGCCGGAACAGGGGCTAGGTGGGGAGACCTTTATTCCATCTTCAGAGAGTCGCCGCCGTCTCGCCTTCTTGAGCAGAACACAAACCCTAACAAGACAGGAAAAAACAAGTGAAAACGGAGCCCTCCAGCCGGCCCTTGGCAGGATCCACCGCGCGCCCATGGCCGTAGGGCCACCGGAGACGAGGCGGACCTGCGGCGGCACCGGCAAGAGGCAGAAACCCTAGCTTTCTTTCTTGGAGGAGGAGGAGCGAAGAGCAGATTTTGCGTGGTTTTCTTTTTTGATTGATGACTAGGTACGTGCATAAATTTCTGAATAGTTTTAGTCTTACAAGAATCGTAGTTATAAATTTCCTATTTTTTACATTTTAATGTCCTTAATATTTTTCTACTGCACAGTCAAAAAAAATATTTTTCTACTGGTTTTGCCAGCTAGGCTCCATGTTTATAAAATAGTTGCCCCATCAAAATTGCTTTCAGTATAGACTTATAGAGCAACCGAAACATATGCAAGGCATCAGTAAATCAAGCAACTGTGTAGTTATCAGCTCATACGTTCTCTCGCTGTGTATATGGTAAGTCTCTTGGTCAAAAAGAAACCAAACCTCACACGGCAGCAGATGGGGAAGTGTAAAAGAAAGAAGAAAAAATCTCCCGGGAGACAGCCGGCGACCCACTCAAGGGGATACTATGTACTCGAAGCAGTTGAGGCCGTCGAACTCCGGCGCAAACCGTGCCGGGCTGGCCTCCGGCTTCCTCTCCGGCCGTGGGCTCCGCTCGACCTTGTCCTCCTGCTGCTTCTTCTCCATCGCCTGCTTCCCTCCGCCGCTCCGCCAGGACAGTCGCGTGGCGTACCCGACCCCAGCAATCTCTGCCGGCGACGAGCTGAGGATGGAGAAAGCCAGGATCTTGTCCATGATCGATTAACCGAGCTGCCTGCCTCTAACAAAGTTTCCTAGCAAAGTTGGTCTGCACTGTGTAGGAAAGGACTCTTCTTTCGGGTGTTGCTCTGTTCCTCTGTCTTGACTCTGTCTCTGAACTCTGCCTTTGGATGCCGTTTCCGACACCCCCGACTGGTGATATATACACGTACGGGGGATAGGTGGGGGGAGGCAGGCAAAAGCGGGGGCGATGAAGGAGCCGTGACGCGGCAGGATGGAAAGTCCACGGACGCAGGCGGGGGACGCCGACCTTGACCGGCGCACGGCAGGAAGCAAAGAACGACATGAGAGAGTTTGACCGAAACCATTGTTTACGGAGTGGGAGAGGTGGCGTGATGCGAATGCGACCCGGCACGACACCGTCCTGCAAGCGCGGCGGTGCGAGGAATGGGTCGCGATCGTTCCAACAAAAGAAATGAGCTGCTGCGTCGGTGATGAGTCGTGTTTGGGATTTGTTTATAGTGGAAGGATATCAACTGGCTGGGTGAGGCGACACTTGGAACTCAGCTAGGGAACATGTGCCCTGTCCGGGATGGATGGGTGGCGTAGCGTCGGCTGCTCGGGAGTTCGGAGTGACGCGGCCCGGTGTTGCATAATTTTCAGACAGGCGCGCATGGGTCGGGCGGTCGGCCGGCCGGCCATGATGGTCGGCGATCCACTTCCGTACACGGGTCATGTGAAGCCTAGGCAGAATATCCCTACTCCTCCCCAACCCTCCTCCCAACCCGTGCATCCCCCTCCCTCCGCCGCCATCGGCAATGTCGCTAGGCCAAGGCCCCGTGGCGCGGCGGAGGCGGACCTCCTCTGGCATCCTGAGATCCAAGGCGGCGGCGCCCTGATTTGGATCTCCCTTCCGACGAGGATGGCGAGCAGCGGCGGCCGGGGCACGGCGGGGGGCTTGGCTGCACCTGGCGGGAGTAGTACGAGATGGCGGCAGCGGCGGCCAGGGCGCATCCCGGGCTCGACCTAGGACCTTCGGGTCTAGGCGGGCGGTTGCGGTTATGTCCTCAAACTGCTGCATCTCGTCGGATTCGGCGACGGCTCGCTGAAGCACTTCGGGTCTGCATCGCATCACGAGGATTATGGCGGTGGTGGTCATCTCCTACGCCGGAGACGGTCGACCTGAGACTGGATGATCGGATCTCGAGATCTGTAATCTAGTCCCGGCTGCGAGTCGGGGAGACATAGTTGCTGGTGAAAACCGAGCCGATGGCGGACGATGACGGCGTTCTGCGCCGTTACCTTGATGAAGGCATCGTTCACTACAAGAAATATGTCAACTTATGACCTTCTGCCAGTGACCCTCGAAGAATTGGTCATAAATTTATGATCATTTTAGACCAATTGGTCAAAAGCTGTTCAGGGGGCTTCAAACCCTAAACCATTGCGACCATTTTGGTCAGAAAGGTCGTAATTTCCTTACACGAAATGGTCACAAAGCAAACAGTGCTAGTCCGCTGCCTTATTTCTAGTTGTTAATGACCAATATAGATGATCATAGCCTTATAGATTGTGGTGGGTTGTGATGACTAGGCGCCATCTCATCAGTTTTGCCTATGTGTCATGTTCATGTGGCAGTTTTTGCCCTAGGTTGTGAAGCAACCTATATTTCTATCATTCCCAAAATTCCCAAAAAAATCTCATAAATTCTTTTTCCTATTATGTTCACAACAACACTTTATGAAGGAAGTGCTATTTATATATTCTTGATTGCCCTAGGAATTTTTGGGCACTCTTTCCTATCCAAATCATTACCGCATGACAAAATTCAGCTCCATTTGCCTAGCAAATCTTCCTCGGCAAATTTTCAAAGTTTTTGTCCACCTAGAAGCATTGTGAAGGAAGTACCTTTTTTATATCTCTAAATGACATGAAATTTGTACAGTTTCTTCATATGCCCAAATTATCATCCTCCTCCAAATTGCAGCTCAGTCAAATCATCTATGTGAGCCCAGGTTCAATTTATATTTTATGGCCAAATTGGCACGTTGCAAAGCAAGTGTTATATAGACCCCTCCTATTACCCTCAAACTTTTCGGGCACTCTTCCATACCCAAATCATTGCCACATGATAATATTCGGCTCAATTTTCCTAGTAAATCTTTCTCGGGAAATTTCCAAAGTTTCTACCTCGAGAGAAGCTTTGTGAAGTAAGTACTAGCTAGGCTTAACCAAATGATCTGAAAATTGACCAGCGCATGACCATACCTAAGTAACTTACCTACACCAATTTTGAGCTCATTTCATTCATCCAATCTCTCTCACTAGTTTTCCCAAGTTTCTGTCCATAGAAGAGCATTGTGAAGGAAGTACTACTTTGGCATGTCCAAATGGTATAAATTTTCTACAATGCTTTCCTATGCCCAAATAACCATCCTCCACAAAATTTCAACTCAATCCATTCATTATTTTGAGTCCAGCTTCAACATTCATATTTTTGTCCAGCGTGGTACTTTGCAAAGCAAGTACCACCTATGATCCTCCTTTTGAGCTAAAAATGTGTGAATACATTCTCCTCAGTAGATGATCATCCTCAGCCAAAACTGCCCATTGTCCATGTGCATTTCCCATACCGCTAGTCAAACACTTGGCTGCTAATTCATGTTTGAGCATCGATCGGTCTCCTCGTGAGAATCTTATGTTGTAATTTTCTTCCTAGCACCAACCTGGGGAGTGCCCAACCCACTAGACATGCCTAGGCCACGCAGAACGCATGGCAACATCACGGTCGAGCGGTGACCACGCGGCGGGCATGCGAGTTTACGCGCTCTAGAGTTGGGGCCCTCGACCGCCGCCCAAACCTCGACGTATCGCCACCAAACCATGTATTTATGATTAAATAGGTCCTTATGTAACTAGAAATGATTTTTGGAAAAAATAAATATCAAACTATGAGGCAGCTGCAGTTCAAATTTGACCCGCTTCCAACTGAATCGGCGGAAATTTGTCTTTTTCACGAGAGGTGGATCAAAAAAATTTACACCCAACCATATTGTCAATTGTGCATTAAATATGTACTAGTATTTTATAAAAATGATTTGGTCCAATTTTGCAACAATTATTTGGTAGTTCCTTCACAAAAAAACCTCCTTTTGGGCACTCCAAAAATGAAAAATGGTTTTTTCGTCCAAAGAAAATGAAAACTTCCTTAGGCAACATTGTTTGCCATTCCAATATGCACCCTTGTGCACAATATGAGATCATTTGAATATACTATGCCACGAATGTGGCCATAAGATTGATCATTTGGCTTGAAGGCCATGAATTTTCAGAGATGATAGCTCATTTCTGAGAACACTTTTTTAAAATAATTTCCGTATTACAAGTTTGTTATTTTTCCTGGGAACTTGGTCACATATAATGACACAATGCGAAGGTTTTCCAATTTTTTGATTTTTTTTGAATTTTTTATGCCTGTTTCAAAATGCGGTCAAAACGACGGGCTTGACCGTTCCTAGCTAGTGGTTGAATCTTGGAATTTTTTTGGTGTTCTCTGATTAAATAGATACTTATGTACCTAGAAATGATTTTTGGAAAAAATAAATAGCAAACTATGAGGCAGCTGCAGTTCAAATTTGACCCGCTTCCAACTGAATCGGCGGAAATTTGTCTTTTTCACGAGAGGTGGATCAAAAATTTTTACACCCAATCATTTTGTCAATTGTGCATTAAATATGTACTAGTATTTTATAAAAATGATTTGGTCCAATTTTGCAACAATTATTTGGTAGTTCCTTCACAAAAAAACCTCCTTTTGGGCACTCGAAAAATGAAAAATGGTTTTTTCGTCCAAAGAAAATGAAAACTTCCTTAGGCAACATTGTTTGCCATTCCAATATGCACCCTTGTGCACAATATGAGATCATTTGAACAAACTATGCCACGAATGTGGCCATAAGATTGATCATTTGGCTTGAAAGCCATGAATCTTCAGAGATGATACCTCATTTCTGAGAAAACTTTTTTAAAATAATTGCCGTATTACAAGTTTGTTATTTTTCCTAGGAACTTGGTCACATATAATGACATAATGCGAAGGTTTTCCAATTTTTTGATTTTTTTTGAATTTTTTATGCCTGTTTCAAAATGCGGTCAAAACGGCGGGCTTGACCGTTCCTAGCTAGTTGTTGAATCTTGGAATTTTTTAGGTGTTTCTTTGATTAAATAGATACTTATGTACCTAGAAATGATTTTTGGAAAAAATAAATAGCAAACTATGAGGCAGCTGCAGTTCAAATTTGACCCGCTTCCAACTCAATCGGCGGAAATTTGTCTTTTTCACGAGAGGTGGATCAAAAATATTTGCACCCAACCATTTTGTCAATTGTGCATTAAATATGTCCTAGTATTTTAGATAATTGATTTGGTCCAATTTTGCAACAATTATTTGTTAGTTCCTTCACAAAAAAACCTCCTTTTGGGCACTCGAAAAATGAAAAATGGTTTTTTCGTCCAAAGAAAATGAAAACTTCCTTAGGCAACATTGTTTGCCATTCCAATATGCACCCTTGTGCACAATATGAGATCATTTGAACAAACTATGCCACAAATGTGGCCATAAGATTGATCATTTAGCTTGAAGGCCATGAATCTTCAGAGATGATAGCTAATTTCTGAGAACACTTTTTTAAAATAATTGCCGTATTACAAGTTTGTTATTTTTCCTGGGAACTTGGTCACATATAATGACACAATGCGAAGATTTTCCAATTTTTTGATTTTTTTTGAATTTTTTATGCCTGTTTCAAAATGCGGTCAAAACGGCGGGCTTGACCGTTCCTAGCTAGTGGTTGAATCTTGGAATTCTTTTGGTGTTTCTCTGATTAAATAGATACTTATGTACCTAGAAATGATTTTTGGAAAAAATAAATAGCAAACTATGAGGCAGCTGCAGTTCAAATTTGACCCGCTTCCACCTGAATCGGCGGAAATTTGTCTTTGTCACGAGAGTTGGATAAAAACTTTTTGCACCCAAC